GATGCATTGGAGCACATAAATCTTGAAAGTGAAGTCGGGGCTGATACTGAGGAATTGAACGTGCCTTTGACTACTCCTTCCAATGGCGCTTCTGCATCATCCATTCCACAAGACGTAGAAGCATCATCTAAAAAAAGAAAGAGAAAAGCGGGTGTTTCTGAAGATGCAATCAAGGTGATTGAGAAGGGTTGAATTCGTTATCCGAGGAAATGGGTAAGTTGGTATCGGTTGTTGGTACTCCGGGTTTACAAACTATGCCCGATGAGTTAACCAACATGAGTTTTCATGATGATCAAGTTATTGTTATTAGCATGTATTTTGCCGATAACCCGATTCAACTACGCCTATGGAATAGCATTAATACTACATTAAAGCCAAAATTTGTGACGACCATCTTAAAAAAGTTAGACATGTGATGTTGGTTGGTAAACATTGGATCTTTTGTGTTTAAGTCTTTTGGTACACAATTGTAAACATTTGATCTTTTGTGTTTAGGTCTTTTGGTAAACATTTCAATTTTTGTTGGTGAATATGATGTTTAAATCTTTTGCTTTATGAATGTGAGTTTTTAATTAAGATTGATTTTGGAATTTTTTTGGTATTTTTAAATAGTATTTGTAAACATTTATATCTATTATTTAGTGAAAAAACACTAAACAGCTCATTGGGGGTAAATTGGTCATTTTAACCAGTTCTGTCATGTTCTGCCATGTCTTACCAAACGTTGAACACCTGTCATGTCCTGTCCTATCATGTCCCGTCTGTGCACCAAAAGCACATGCTATGACCATCCTTCCTTGAAGTTTTATTGGATAGAAAGAAGGACTTCGTAATATGGCCCAACGTTTCTTCAAAATACCAAAACACCTTTCTTTGATATTCCTAGCTTGTGAGTGTTTCATGTTAAAATATTCTTCCTTATTTGAAGGTGTATGACCAATGTGTTTCCATTCTCGTAAATGATACCTAGTATCTCTATATGGTGCCAAAAATCTGTTACCATTGACATATCCTACATCAGCCAAATAGTAATTACCCATTGAGACTTTTAAACCATTATTCCGTGTAACCGCATCTCGTAGTACCCTAGAATCGGTAGCTGAACCTTCCCAACCGGATAAAACATAGATGAAATTCATGTCCCGAGTGCATGCACCTAATACATTAATCGCAATATGACCCTTTCTTGTTCGGTATCGTGGTTTATCGGACTCAGGTGCAGTCACTTCAATGTATGTTCCATTTATTGCTCCTAGACAACCCTATAAAGAAAATAACTTGGTTTTAGCTAAATGGTAAAATTCTTATATTACAAGTAATGAGAGAAGTTAACTAGGATTACCTTAAACCATTTCCATCTTCTGTCGGTACAATCATCCTCTACCGGAGTTGGTTTGCTAAACAAAATGTCTTGCACTCGCAACAAAGAACTTAAAACTCGATGAACATACCTACTAATTGTTTCCCCTAACCTATAAAATCTAACTTGAAGACATCTATTTTTGGTGTGATGTGCTAAAATGTTTACAAATGTAGCAACTTGTTCTTCAATTGTCATATTACCATCATCTAATAGTCCACCACGTGTTTTTAGCAACTCACACAAAAGAGCAAATGCATTCCTATCCATTCGCAACTCATTTACACAAATAATGTCACTTTCACGTGTGATGCGTTGGATTTCTATCGATCTAATTTGCAATCTAGTGAATGTTCTTTGTCTTAAAGTTCTCCTTCGATCATCTCTTTGTTCATGTTCAATTACCCAATTTGCGAAGTTGACCAAAAGTATAAGCAAGTCGATGTAAGCTTTCAACACTTCAACAACTATAAGTAGATGGTTCCGATCCATTCTACATAAAAAAAAAAAAAGATGTAGTCACTATAAATTAACACATAATCTGTGAATCCATTTACCCCTAAAACAGCAGCAAAATTTCATATAGTACCAAAACAACAGCAAACATAGCAAACAGCAGATTGGGTAATTGAACATAGCAAACATAGAAAAACAGCAAAATCGGCTGTTTTCTAGTAAACATAGCAATGTCTTATTTGGTGGTAATAATCTGCAAGTTCCGAAAAACAACCTTGCTAGCTATAACATCAAGCCAAGATAAGGTCAAAGCCATTAAGTATTCTTCTAACATCTGGGAATCTAAGTAAAATAAAATTGAAAAGGGGAATTTGGAATTACTTTGGAATCAAATCAGGAGGTTCCACCATGTGCTGCTGAAGAGTGTGGGTGTGAATAATAACGGATATGGAGAAAGAAACCATATTTCGAAAAAATGGGTGTCTACAGCTTTTCTAAAACAAGTATTTATCTTCATGGTATGATTTCTGGTAATCATACATAGCAAATCGAATAGCCGATTAATTTGGACTATTATCTTCATGGTATGATCTCTGGTAATCAAACATAGCAAATCGAATCAAACAGCCGATTTAGGGCAATCGATTCGTACATATCGATTCATACATATCATACCCTAAATCGATTCATACATATCAAACCCTAAATCGAATCAAACAGCCGATTTAGGGAAATCGATTCATACATATCAAACCCTAAATCAAATCAAACAGCCAATTAAAGAGCTCGTCCAGCAGAAGGCGGACTGTGTGTATGGAGCTCGTCAAGATGAAGGCGGAGTGTGTGTACCTGTAGAACTCGTCGAGATGAAGGTAGAACTTCCGTCGCTGGCGAGATGGAGCGTCTGCGTATGGAGGAGCGACGGGGAAGGATACGGTCTGCGTATGCGATAGGAGGAGAACGATGGGTAGATTTGTAAAAAGATACCTTGTTCCACTTAGTTCTAGGGGGTAAGGGTGAACACCCGTGTCCCAGTTAGTTCCACCTAGTTCCATTTAAAAACACACCAAACGTGGGACAAGTGTGTCCTGTCCTGTCCTGTCCCACCCTGTTCCACGTACCAAACACACCCTTAGGGTGCACAAAAATAAAATAGTCCGATGTTTGGCAGCCATGGACAAAAATTACATGGGATTATTTTTAAATTTGATGGGACAAAACTTGATTATTTTTGTTTCACCAAAAAATGTTAAACAACATGGGACTAAATACGAATTAACTATCTTACCCTTGGAAATCCAATAGAAAACCTAATTACTAATTGGAAATCCAATAGAAAACCTAATTACTAAACCCTCCTTCATCATCGTCTCTTTTCTCTTTTCCACCATTCCACGAGAGCTCCTTCCACATCGCCTCCTTCCACACCTCCTCCTTCCATCGGCTTCTTCCACATCGGTATGATTTCTCTTTTCTGCATCGATTTCTTTTTGCTGCATCGATTTCTTTTTTGCGATTCTTTGATGTGTCGATTTCTTTTTTGCGATTATTTGTTGCGTACGATTCCGCATCGTTCTTCTCTTGGATTCTTGACTGTAAACAAGTTGCTTTATCAATGCTTCAACAAGTTGCTTGTCATTAAGAGTTTTTTGAAATGTATGCATAACATGGTAGTAATTTGTGCCTTATGGTTTATAATTAAGACATGGGTTTAAATGCTTATTAATGTAGTATAGATAAAGCATTTGACAAAAACTCTTAAAAACCGCTTTTTATGTGTAAAATATTATTTATTAATACACATTACTTAAAACTCAAGATTACAAGTATATTGTGCGTAAATACAACTTATTAAAGCACCATATCTGAATTCGTGTAACTAACTGCGTATAAACATAATCAAATACAAGATAAAATTTTCATTTTAAATATAAAAAATCTAAAATATAATTAGGATAATCATTGAGTTCTAACATAATACTTAATTATTATCTTTATAAAATGTTATATTATTAAGCCAAAAATAAATTATTTCATTATTAAACTTAAA